GCCTCCTACCACCGCCTCTACCAATGCCGCTCAGTTCTGACCCACAGCCCTCCCCCCCACCCTACACACACACACCTTGCCATGCCAGTCTCAAGCCCCCACCCAGCTCTGCTGAGGCCCCTCACTCCTGTAGCCATCCTTTTACCCCAGCCTGGATTGGACTCCCAATGGTACCGGCAGTAATGGTGGGGCACGCTGTGCGGGAGCTGGGGCTCAAGGACACTCCTCCCACAGAACTGTGCAGTCCATCTTTGTGTGCCACAAGCAGGCTCCAGCTGCTGTTGAGCTCAGCAGGAGGTAACCCTGGAGCATGACAACTTGGGCATAGGAATAACTCCTGCAGCCACTAAAGCATGGTCCCCACAGCAGCTGGGCAACACAGCACCACTGCACACAGTATTAGGAGATGAAGCAAGGTAGATGTTGTGTTCAGCCTGCCTTTGAGACCCACCTGCTTAGGCTGTATCCAACTCTTACTGCAACTGCCCCACTCTTTCCTACTCCACAGCCTTAGATCTGGCCTAGTTCCTCTCAGTCTGCACTGCCAGTCATCCTTGGGCTGTCACTGCTGCTAGCATTGCCCTTTCTGCACGAGTCCTTCCCTTGGCTCCCTTTCCCCATGGCACCCAGTGCAAGACACTTTTCTTTGCCTTTAAGGCTCTTCAAAGCTTGGCCTTGCCTTAGCCATCAACCCTGATACATTACTTGGACATCAGTCCTGCCTCCTGTGCTCTGCCAAGGGTGCCAGCCCTCACTGCTCATTGCCACCATCTTCCTCCCAGCACCTTGGTGTTTCCTCCCACACCACACATAGACATGGAAGTAACTCAGTCCTCCTTCCAATTCACCTTTGCAGGGAGGCCCACCAAGCACTCAGTGAGTTGCTGCCACTGACACTGTCTCACCCTGCAGAAGTTTATTGCAATCACTGGCTGTGCCTTGTTGCCAACTAAACCGCAGGCCCTGGATCGTTATGGATTGGGGCCTTTAGGAACTACCGGGTATACGAAACACTGAAGGAAAATCCATCTTCTTCAAGATAAGTCTTGATAACAGCCTTCAAATACCTGAAGGGTAATTATAGAGGGGATGAAGACATTGTTCTCTGGCCCCAGAGCAGGGGTGGCCAACTTGGGACACACGTGCCACAAGTGGTATAGGCAGCCTCTGTGTATGGCACATAGTAGACTGGGGGAGGGACAGGCAGCATGGTGGCAGAGAGGGCAGAGAGTAGAAAGCAGAGTAGCAGATTGGGAAGGGAGTGCAGGGAAGGGAGCAGAAAACACAGCATCAGATCAGGCAGGGGAAGGGGATCAGCCCAGCACTTGGAGAGGGTGCAGAGCTAATCTGTGGCATGCCTGCCAAAAACACTGGTGCCCCTCTGCAGCAAGGGGCAGTTAGGTTGGAGATTAGAAGCCTCCTGACTGTGAAGGTAGTCAAGCACTGGAACAGATTATGTAGAGAAGCTGTGGATTC